CTGGACTATAGCAATAGAACTAACTGTGTGACCTCAGTCAAACCAAGTCACTATCCCTCTCAGGATCAATTTGCTCATCCATAATATGAAGGAGTTCCTTCTCTACAGTATATAGAGAAAAATCCTAATTTCCAAGTTAACATTCTACCTTATTTACAGTTAAGCCATCAACCTATATGAAAGTATTTTCACATACTTTCAACATATAATTTACTCCAACACAACTGAGCTCCTTCACCGTTCCCAATGTCCTCTGCTTTTCTGGCCTCTGCCTAGGACATCTTTCCCATCCCCAGACATCTTTCCCATCCCCCAAATGCTTCATGTTAAAAAACTGTTTAATTTTCCAAGCCCAATCCAAAGTGACTTTCAGGAACTGTCTTTGATCTCCTTGGCTGCAAGCCCTTTGCCTTTCTTTTATGGGTGTGGATCTCATTCTTGGAATATTATAGTTGTGTATATTATTTCTTCTATCTCTTACTTAACTCTGTCTTCTTGGAGAGCAGAGGCTATTCCTAAATCAGCCTATATCTCCCAAATTGCCTTTGGTTCATAGCATGCACTTAGAAACATTATACTGAATGGATTCAGGTTAGGCCGTATCAGTAGTCCTGATTAAAAGTCTCTGAGTTTCTGGAATAAAGACCAAAATCCTTATAAAGACCCACTCCAGCCATTCCACCTTTTGTTCAATTTCTTAAATTCACTATGCTTCTCTCATCTCAGGGAGCTCCTGCATGCTCTTCTCCTCATCTAGAAAACTATTCCACCTCCACCATCACTACCACCCCACCTTCATGTTTCTATTTAGTCTTAATATCACTTTCTCAAGGAACATTTTCTTAAACCCAATGCTAAGGCCAGTTTCCTCTGTTATATGTCTTTATAGCTCCCAACCCCCATACTTTTCCTTCATAGCATTTATTGTTGCTGAAATAACATAGTAGTGTGATAGTCTGATATATTGCCTCTTCCCCATCAAACCATAAGCTCCAAGTAAGCAAGGATGGTGTGTGTCTGTTTTGTTCACCTTTATATTATCTGCATGGTATAAGCACAGCACTGAATAAATAGCTATTGAACGAATGAATTGCTTAATGACTGATTTAAAGGTAAAGACTTGGGACTTAGAGTGTACAGAATCGTTGCCTGTCTTCCTATAATCCAGTGATGGCGAACCTATGACACGCGGACTCATTTTTTTGGTTGATTTTTCTTTGTTTAATGGTATTTAAATATATAAAATAAATATCAAAAATATACATCTTTGTTTTACTATGATTGCAAATATCAAAAAATTTCTATATGTGACACAGCACCAGAGTTTTCCAAAAAAACCCAAAAAGTTGGGGTTTTTCAAAATGCTGACACGCCGAGCTCAAAAGGTTCGCCATCACTGCTATAATACTTTCAAAGTAAAATTGGGGTGCCAGGTAGCTCTCTGAGACAGGTAAGGTGGCCTTTTATTCACCATAAGAATTTATAAAATAGGATAAATACTGCCTCTTCTAATGCCTGGAGGAAACCAAAATTGCCTTTCTTTAGTGACAGTATGACCCCAGAAGGCATAATTAACACCAAGTATCTTATTCATTCACTTAACAAACATTTATTAAGTACCTACTCTAAGCCATACACTAGGATTGTGGCTTGTGGCTGATAGTATAATAAACTAGACTGATACAGCACCCTACTTGATTGGAATATTTAATCTAAGACTATAATTTATTATATATGCTTTAAAAAATCTTTTATGACCGTCAGAATACCAGAGGGTGGAAGATAATCTGGCAGAGATGATTTAGAAATTGTAACAAGCCCAATCTGGGCCTGTTAAATTAGATAGGCAGGTATCCTAGACCAATGTTGGTCAAAGTGTGGTCCAGAGAGCAGTACTTGTCTGTGAATGTTTATTACCAGGCAGCGGTAACCTAAATGCAGAAACTGAGAATAAACACTTACAAAACGTTACAGCAATTTAACACAAGTAATTTTTCTGTTGAAGCTAATAATAAACCTATCAACATATATTTTTATGCTTTTTCTTTAAATTTTTAGTAATGTGTAGTTAATGTATTTTACTAAAGTAACAGTCTATGACAGAATGGAATATTTTGGAGGAAAAAATGGTCCTTCACCAAGATAGTTTGCAAAGCACTGGAACAGCAAATTCAGGATTACCTGGCAGTTTGTTATAATGCAAAATCTCAGGTGCCACCCCAGATCCTCTGAATCAGAATTAGTATTTTAAAAAGATCCCTAGGGGATCCTTTTGCACATTAAAGTTAGAGAAGAACTGGCCTAGATTATTTCTAAAGCCCCTTAGAACCTTCAGATTTTATAATTTACTTCAGATAAAAAACTGCAGAGGTGATAACATCCACCTCATAATTTTATAGATGGAAAAACTGAGGTCAAGAGAGAAAAAGTCATGTGTCCAAGATAATTGGCAAATTAGCAGAGGTAGGAATATAACACATTTCCCAACACCCAAGTCAATTTTCCACTCTAGCTATACTGCACGATCACTCCTATTCTACTGAATCCCACTCTGCACCATCCCTCAGTGATGTCATTGTTTTATCAGAAAGTATCTCAGAAACTACTTATTCTTCTTCCTTCCATAGACTGTTAACTTTAAATCACCACTATTTCAACTGTCTCCTTTATGATAATTACCTTTGACCTCTGCTTCTCAAATCTTACTATATGCATATTATCTGACTGCTAGATGGATATTCTGAGCCTTCAGAAGGACTAGCACCAACTGATCCCTGGTCTTTAGAAAAAGAGAGCTTCTTTGTTCCCATCAGTCTACTTGATATCAGATATCAAGGAAGAGAGCACACACTCAATGCTGCTTTCGAAAGCTCAGTACTTTCAGTTTGTGGTTGACAATCAAGAGAATAGGATACTAGACCATATTAATAAAAGTCTAGGCTCCAAAATGAGGCAAATGATGACTCTTGTGGTATTGTCAGACTTGATCCTTGAGGGGAAAGGTATGATTGCTGTCTTGAACTATCTGAAGAGCTATTATTAAGAAGAAGCAAATTTGTTTCAGATAGTCCCAAAGAACCAATGAATAAATGTTATGGGGAGACAGAGCTTGGCTTATAATGGAGATCATTATCTGACAATCAGAGTTGCTCAAAGATAGAAGGAGCCATCTAATGAGCTCTCTATCATTGCAAGGAAATTCAAATAGAAATCAGTCAACAAATTGAATGCTTGGAGCAAATTAAAGACCTGGGTGGAGAAATAAAGCTTAAGGATCTTTAGGGGTCATTCCAGTTTCAAGGTTTTAGTATTCTAAAATTTTCAGGGCAGAGTAACCCTAAACTGTCAGAAAATAAGAGTGAGATCTGGTCCTAAAAGAAATTGTTGTGTTTTTTTTTTTGCTCAATGTGAGATGAATGAGGTTATGACAGTGGCAAAGTGAAGTCTTTCCAGACATCCTTTTAAAAGGAAAGCAAGCTGGCCAAGAAAAGCCATTGGGCAAATTTTTTGTTCTTATGCTACACAAAGGCCAGAGTACTATTTCCACCCCTCAACATGTCTTTCCAAGCAGCACCCTTCCTAGTGTACCTACATTTGTCTAACAGAGAAAGGTGCAAAATTCTCCCAAAGGAGGCAGTAGTGCTTAATTGTCTCTAGACTATGCATTCTGGAATCAAATTGTGTTTTAATTCCAAATTGGGACAGTTAATTATTGTGTAACCTTGGACAAGTTACTTAACCTTTCTATACCTCAGTTTCCTCATCTGTATATCAAAAGATAATAATAGTATCTTCTTCATAGGGTTGCTATAAGAATAATACACATTAAACCCTCATCCCAAGATCCAAAACTTATTAAGCAGTTAGAAATATTATTAATAATGTTGCTGTTATAATTAATATCATGGACACATTAGTGTTGCTAACTCAAAAAGCCCCATTAAGCAACCAGGTCCCTCCTATTACCAGTTCAGAGACGCTATATTACAAGAGCTTCAGCCAGTCCTTGCATAACTCCAGACATCCAGAACCTGCTGTCCCTCAATAAACCATACCATTCACAACAGGAATCCTGGCTCCTCACCAGGTCTCTCTAAATCTAACAGCTACCCCTCCCCTAGTCCCTTGCCATAGTCAGAAGAGCTGTAAACTGGAAGTCAGTTCCAGACAAACCATCAGGTGTTTCTTCCCTCCCGAGGACACAGCTGGATCAAATTCCATGCCTACCAGTGGGATGGGTAAGGTATCCGAATCCCTGGTCTAGACTGTCAGCTCAACTACCTGGGATGGGAATTGGTCAGGCAATGGGGTTTCCCCCAGAGAAGCAAGAGAAGCCTCCCAAGTGTGTGAAGGAACTCAGTCCTAACCCCACAATGAGCCTCTTAAAGTAAGGGGGAAGCCTCAATCTGCTTTTAAAGGAAGCAGTTATTTACAACTTTGTACTCACTTGCACCTGGGGAAGGTAATAGGGAGATGGGGAAAGGGGCTACATGGTATTCTCTTTGTTTCTCATTTCTAACTAGGAGAAGCAGCTGCAGAGAAAGAGTTAAAGGAGAAAGGAAGCTCCAGCCATTACCCCATCCCCATACCTAAGGCTGTCTGGGGGGTCATGAAGTGCTGTCTGCTATGGCTAGGGGCCACTTGGTGGCTTTCTGCAGCAGCTGCTGCCTCCCCCCGCCCTACCCCAAGCAATTTGCAAGGTCAATGCTGACCTGCTTCCAAAGAGGAACAAAACAATTCACTGACAATGAAGCAAATCTCCCATACACCACATCTCAAATCCCCTCCCCAAATCAGGTTTTACCCTAGTGCCTTCCTGCCCAGATGCAGACTCTGTGCTTCCACCAGCCCTACTGGGGAACCCAGCATAGCATCACAGCTGCAGAGCATGTCTCGCCTTCCCCGCCAACCCAAGGAGACTCTCAGTACCGGGAGAGATGCTATCGCTAAAGGAGACCTGAGATTGGGGGAGGGGAAGGAGGGACATCTGGGTTTCTTACCAAGCGCCACAGTCACTTCCTGAAGTGGACAGAAGAAAAGGATGAATGAACTGAAACAAGTTAGAGGTTGAGCCCTCACAGAGCTCAGCTTCCTCTTCTCTTTCTCTGGGTCTCTATCCTGGTCCCTCTCTCCTCTGTCTCACTGGTTTGCTTGCTGACTTGCCGCGCTCACGATCTCCCTCACCCTCCCTCCCTCTCTCTCTCTTCCTCTCTCCTCCCCCTGCTCTCTCTCTCTCTCTCTCTCTCTCTCTCTCTCTCTCTCCCTCCCTCCCTCCCTCCTCCCTTCCTCTATCCCTCCCTCCCTCTCCCTCCCCTTCTTTCCTTTCTTTCTTTATATTTCTCTCCCTTCCTTCCTTTCTTCCCTCCTCCCCTCACCCTTTGCTGGCTTCGGATTCACCACTGACTGGTGCTGAGCACGCCGCTGTGCTGAGGCTCTCAATGCAGAGCTGCAAGGCTTTGAATCTGTGGTTGTTTTAGGGAAGACTGAAGTAGTGTTTTATTCTGTAAGGTATCCAGCAGAGAAATCTAGGGAAGCTCAAAGAGAAGGGGAGGAGCAAAGGAAGCAAGGGGAAGAGAAAGAAAGCAAAAGGCTAAAAGCAAATGGGAGGATAAAGGAATTACCATAGCTGATGTGTGGTGTTTACTAGCTGCTCCAAGACAGAGAGAAGTGGTCTGTATCCCTTACATCCCTTAGCCCAGGCTCTAAATAAAGCTTTGACAATCCTGTCCACATTACATTTCTGACAAATATGAGATTCTAAAAATTGTACATCAAAGGTTGTCATTCCCACCCAGCTAAGAAGAAAGAGTTCAGCGACATTGATCCCCTAATAACCCAAAGGCCACCCCACCCCCAACCGAGTAGAAGTATGAACCCAATTCAGAACTGTCAGCTGGAACTTCCCTTCAGGCAAAACAGAAAAGCAGCAGAACCACAATGCTTTCCTTTAAAAAAAAAAAAGCCTCTGATGGGAATGTAAGTGTACATAAGTGTGTAAGCCAACATGTGAGTTTGTACAAGGGGGAAGAAGAGGTGGAGAGAAAGAGATTAATTAACTCAACATATAAAATAATTATATTCTCATTGGGGTAAAAAAATAAAACCTGGGCAAAGTATAATAATAATGCAACAAAGGGTGGACAGAGACCTGGGCTAAGAATAAAACAAAGGAGCTTAAATTTGAGTTTTGCCTCTGAAAAATCACTCCACTGTTGCCTTCCAGTCGTTTCTTCAATCTGGCCCTCATTATCTCAATGGCAAAATGAATAGTGATGGATGTAGATGATCTTGAAAGACCCTTTTGGACCAAACAATCTAGGCTCTAAGACAGGAAAATCCCATGTGAAAGAGGAATTAATCTCTAAAGAGTAAATACATAAACTACCAAATTTCAAAGGTCCTCCAAAAGTGAGTACCCAAATTGAACCCCAAATCACACTTGATAGACCTTCCATTTTGAGTGTTTCAGGGGTAATATGAATTTAAGCATATGTGTAAAAATCTGCTCCTATCAAAGAATTTAGCTTCCACCTACATACAATGATTAGCACTAAAATTTCCTTAATAATACACCTTATACTGTGTTTTCCAGTCCATTTAGTCAGAGTCAAAATGGATACACTGGCCAGTGCTGCTCTGTTGGATGGAGCATAGTCCTGTGTCCCACACACAGAAAGGTCATAGGTTTGATTCCCTGTCAGGATGCCTGTGGGAAGCAACCAATAGATGTTTCTTTCTCACATTGTCACATTGATGTTTCCCTCTCTCTCTCTCTCTCTCTCTCTCTCTCTCTCTCTCTCTCTCTCTCTCTCTCTCGTCAATAGCCATATCCTCAGTGATTGAACATGAGTTATGTTGTATATGTTAAGTAAGAGTACTGGTCTCAGTATATATACAGTGATTAGGACATGGTTGGCATTTAAACGTTTTCCAACAGTGTGCTATTTTTCTAAACCACTATCCTGTTGGATCCTGCCCCCTCAAAAAAAATTCCTAACACTCTACTCCTATCCAATAAGGTTCCACTCCAACCACACACTTCTTCAAAAGCATATAACCAACATTGAGTAAAGAGAGACACAGGGATCCTTCGACTCAGAGTCAGTGAACTGAAAGGACCCATAAAGATAACTGTCTTCTTGTATAGAAAGAGAAACTGGCCTGCAGAAAAAATACAGTCTATATAATGTCATAGTGAACCAGTGACTAAATCAAGACCAGCACCCAGACTGGTGACCCCAGTTATAGTATTTTTGTCTACCAAAGCAACATGTAAGTTGTTCATAAAGCAAGTGTTTATGTGGGCACATAGTTAAGCACACTCCTTCCTGCAGAAGTATGGATTTTTGTGTGTATTGTTTTTGCATAAATATCCATTGAAATGAACAGATTAGCAGAATAGAAAAAAGAAATATTATGAACTGGCATAAGACTGCTGTTTTATTTGCTAGGACTGTCATAACAAATTGCCATAAATCTGGTGGCTTAAAAAAAATAGAAATGTATTGTCTCACATTGTTGTGGAGGCTAGGAGCCTGATATCAAGATTCTGGCAGGGCCCAAAAGCTCTGGAAGGAGAATCTTTCCTTGCCTCTTACAGCTTCTGGTGTGTTTTTTAATACCTTGGCTTGTAGAAACATCACTCCAATCTCTGCCTCAGCCTTCAAATTATCTTTTCCTTGGTGTCTCTGTGTGACCAAATCTCCCTGTCTTTTCATTATAAAAACACTAGTCACTGGATTTAGGGCCCACCCTAAATCCAGGATTATTTCATTTTGATATCTTTAATTACTTCTGCAAAGACAACACACATCCAAATAAGATCCATCTTTGATTCTCAGTGCACATTATTTTTTTGGAGACACTATTCAACCCACTACAGTGGCCAACTTCTTTTTCAAATGAAGGCACTAAGCAAATAAACCATCCAGGGTACCATAATTTTAAATATATATATATATATATATATATATATATATATATATATATATATATATATATATACACAAATAAGTTAGATGAAAATACTCTCATAACAAAAATGATTCTTTATACAATTTTAGCTATGTAAAAAATTAATAGCATTTTCATAAATGTTCTCAGTTCACTGTAAACCACAGAAAAACTGTTATGAGAATTACTTCTGGCAGTGGCAAAGCAAAATCTGAATGCATTGAAAAATAATCATAAGCAGGCATGAATTGGAAAAGAGCTCACAATTGGAAGAAAGGAACAATACTAGGTGAGTTTACCCCTTTTTAGGAATTTTTGCCTGAGGGCAGGACCCAGATCAAAGCAGTAACTAAAACTCTAGACTAGAGTCTAGAGAAACAATAAGTGAGTGTTGGAGTGCTAAATGCTTAACAAGTGCTAAGTGCTAAATGCTCTCCAGGAAAAATAAATAAAAGCCCTTGCTAGCATTTCCCAATTTCCATAGTGTAAATACTCTCACATGGCCAATTCCATCAATATGAACTTGAGCAGAGATGTGCAGTGCCAATTGGCTACCGAACACAACTGCTCACAGTCCTAGTGGCTTGAAGATCCAGCAGACAGAGTTCAAGATGACCGCTGAAGATGGAATGTGATGAGAGAAATATAAGAATGGACAGAACTACAAAATGGGAGACCCTAGTTTTGTTTATAAACTGCCCAAATCTTGGTGGAATCATAAATAATGCATGTGGGGTCAGATTCCAAAGAGCTTAAATAAAGCTGCCCACCATAAGGGAGAATCTGGAGTTTCAGTTAAGCCATATTAGCTGCTTAGTAAAACAAATAAACAAAAGCAACATTCCACAGAGAACTGAAAGAATATAGAAATCCTACACTATATCATTCACAAAGTTCAGGGTACATGCCAAGTTAAATAGGAAAAAAACAAAACACAAAGAAACAAGAAAATATTATCTATATTCAAGAGAAAATACAATCAATGGAGACCAGCCCTAAAATGGACCAGATGTAGAAATTAACAGAAAAGGATTTTAAGTCATTTATCATAACAATACTAATGGACATAAAAGAAAATGCACTCTTAATAAATGAACAAGTGAAAAAACCATAGCAGAGATATGAAAACAATTTTAAAAATCAGATGCAAAGTCTAGAACTGAAAATTAAAATATCTGAAGTAAAATTTACTGCAGGGGCTTAACAGCAGATTTGAGATGAAAGAAGAAAGAGTAAGTTAACTTAAATACTAACTAATATATAGTATTCAATCTGAAGCACACAAAGAGAAAATATTATAAAAGATTAACAGAGCCTCAGTGATCTTTTGGATAATACAAAGTTCTAATGTATATGTAATTTGAGTCCCAGAAGTCAAAGAACAAAAGAGGAAGAAAAATTTTTGAAAACAATGCCCAAAATATTTCCAAATATAATGAAATAAATATTTACAGTTTCAGGAAGCTCAATGAACCCTAAGTAGGTACACATCATAGTAAAATTATTGAAAATCAAATATAGCCCTAGCCAGCTTGGCTCAGTGGATAGAGCGTCAGCCTGCGGACTGAAGGGTGCCAGGTTTGATTCCAGCTGAGGGCACATGCCTGGGTTGTGGGCTCGTTCCCCAGTAGGGGGTGTGCAGGAGGCAGCCGATCAATGATTCTCTCTCATCATTGATGTTTCTATCTCTCTCTCCTTCTCCCTTCCTCTCTGAAATCAATAAAGAAATATATTTTTAAAAAAGAATATCAAATATAAAGGGGAAATCTTGAAAGGAAAAATAAATAACATACTGAGGGGGGAAAAAATGACCACTCACCTCTCATAAGAAAAAAATATATTTTTAACGTGCTGAAATTTAAGAAAAAAATCTACCAAGATTGAATTTTACTTCCAGAAAAAATATCCTTAGGAATAAAGACAAAATATGACACTTTCGAATAAGTAAACATTAGACCAGTTTGTCGCCAGCATATTTACAGTGTCAGAAATCCTACAAAAAAATTCTTAAGCATGAAAGGAAATAATACCAGATGAAAAGCATGATCTTCAGGAAAGAATGAAGAACATCAGAAATGGTAATATGTATAAAAATATAAGATTTTTGTCTTTATATATATGAATTTAAGATAAATGACATTATAATATACAGTAGATAATGTAGACAGAATAATACACAAGACAACTAAAACATGAAAGAGGGGCAA